TTTTTGAAACTACTGGATTATGCAGAGCAGGGCTGCTCTCCCCCATCACTATTTTCCAAGCAATCTGTATTTTTCAATTTAGTCTTCATTTAAACTAGTTTCCCTCACACAGAGAGAAGTCTAACAAGGAAATACTGGTGTAACTAGACCAGGCTATTTGAAATGCTAACCCTTTCACCCATCGCTCTCACATCCCTGCTGGAAGCCTAGCAGGCTTAGTAAATTGGAAAAAGCATAAGCTTTTTAACTATTGCTGTGCACAATCCATCAACTCAGAGCAAATTCCTCCTCTCTTCTGTTAAAGCCAAGACTCTAAGCTGAATCTGAACAGCTAATGCCTTCATGTCTTGTTCTGTTAACTCTGCAACAAGATGCTAAGGAAAAGCAAAGGCACAAATAAAATAAATAAATACATAAATACTCTGCTGTTCATCAGTGAGTTTACTGGTTCTACTGGTTCATTGTTTTTTAAATTCATTGGATCATGCGATATTCATATTACAACAGGGTAACTCAGACAGGCTGAAATGGACCTCAGGAGATCTCTACGGCAACGTCCTGCTCAAAGCAGGATCAGATGTGAGATAAGACAAGTTTTCTCAGGGCTTTATCTGTTCAGGCTATGGAGAACACACAGCCCCACAGGCAATTTTTTCCAGTGTTTGATTGTCCTCATGGTAAAATGTTCTTCCTTTTATTCAGTCTGAACCTCTCTTGATTCAGATTATACCTGCTGTCTTTTATCCTCCACCACACAGCACTATGAAAGCGTCTGGCTTCATTTTCTTGACAACCTTGTCATGGCTATGTCAAGGCTGCTGTTAGGTCTCCCCAAAGCTTTCTCTCTTGTAGCCCAAACAAGACCAGTTCCTTCACCCTCCCTTTGCAAGGAGACTCAAGCCTCCTGGACATCTTGGCTGTCTTCTTCTGAACTCACCTCAGTTTATTAATCTCTTTCCTTAAATGGAGGCACTTGAAACTGCACACAGCCTTCCAGATTATTTTGCACAAGTAGGAATATCATGCGTACTGGGCAAAGTGAGATAGTTAATTCTGATCCTATGAGTATAGCTTAGGAAGGTGTTTGTTTTCTTTACTGCCAGGGCATGCTGTTTATCTTGTTCATCGCATTGTCTGACAAGACCCCCATGCCCTTCTTGCAGAGCCTTTTCACCACCTCTGTCTAGCAGTTCCTACTGCACAAAGCAGGTCTTACGCTCATAAAAGCCAAATTCCTGTCAATGACATCAGCTGTGCAACCAGACATTAACCCATGGAATCTGTCTGCTCCTCCCTAAGCCTTTCCTCTGCACCGTCAGGACTCAAGAGAACACCACCTGAGCCTCTGTGCCTCTGACACTCATTCCTAAAGCCATTCAGTCACTCCTGATATGCTCAAGGTTCCTGCCTCAAGACACATTAATGCTGCCAATGCAGATAAGCAGCAGGAGAAATAGCACAAGGGCCAGACAAGCCTTGGCAGTTTATTTGCAACATGCTTAATTCGAGTTCCCAATAAGCACCACATCTTTCTAGATAGCAAGTCAGATCAGCAAATTGGGTCTTCTGTGCCCCCAGAGGTGAGTCCTGCATTACCATCACTCACAACTTCCTCTTGGTGCTAATGCAGTACTCTGCTGGTTTCCCAGGGGTGGCATTCTCTCTCTTGCCTGCTACCAGCACAGTGAACCAGCTCTGCAACTGCAGATCTGCCATCCTCCTCTTGCCAGACAAGCCTCCTGCCTTTCCCAGCCTGGGACTCTCCATTTGCCCTACAGCTGACCATGATCTTGGCTGCCCTCCGTGCAGTTACAGGTTCAGGCTTTTGCCTCTGCAGGATCTCTATGAAGATGCTGTCAACATCTTTTTATGTCCCCTAATACTGTGCACTTTGCCATCTTGCTCCCACAGCTCCCTGCTGTGGCAAATCTCTCCCCATCTAGAAGTATACCTTCTGCAGGCAAGAACACCATTTTCTCCAGCTCAGGCCTTTGCAAGAACCACTGCTACTCTCTGCAGCCTGAGATCCAGAGAGATTTATCCTCCCACCTGTGACTGGAATAGAGGCCTCTGCAGTGCAAGGGGTAGTTGCTCTATCTGGTGTTGGGAACTAGGCCCTGTGTTGCAACACTACTGTTGATAAGTCCCACGTGGCCTTCAACAGATTCTGACCCACTTCCATGTGCCTTTCTGAGCAAACTGCTGCTTCTGAGAGTTGCACCCTGGGACCTGTGCCCTGGGACTTGTAACTGTAGCTGGATGGGTACCTGACCCTCCCTACTCAGGATCAGCCTCACCCAGCAGCAGGGGCTGGATCTGAGGACACTGGAGGAAAAAACATGCTGGAAAATCTAGATGCAAAGCCCAGAGCTGTTCATCAAGTGGCAGCCACTGGCAGAGAACAGGACCCCAACAAGCATCCCAGCTCCCCAGCATGTGCCCAATCACATGAACTGCCAATCTGAGTGCTGAGTCCCCCTTTGCAGCTCCTAGTCACTGTGTTCCCTAAACACTACTGCTCCAGGATTAGGCTGGCTCCACTGTGGGGTCCCTTCTCATGTGGCTAAAAGCCCACTTGAACATGTCCTGATACCAGTTTGGCATGCTCATGAACTGAATCCCACTGCCTGCACTGGCCTCACAGCAGTTATAAGCCCAGCACAGGCAATGTGCTGTTGTTGGGGGCAACAGTCTCCAGGGCAAGACTCTCCCCTCACCTCCACTGATTGTATCCTTTCTGCAAGACAAGCCAGCCAGAGCACCCCTAAAGCACTGGTCAGTTGTAGATGCCATCACCACTCAGCCGTATCACCTCCACAGCAACTGGAAACCCACCACAGGCATCTTCAGCATCTCACCAAGGTCCTCCCCCAAGAATATCATCTCACAAGACCATGAGGCTGCTAAAACACCCTCTGAGCAGGTCTCACTTACTCATGACTGCAGCCACATACTCCTGCCATTGGTGATGCCCTTGTAACATCTGAAAGCCTGTAGTATTTCTGAAGAAGTCATCACTTGATTTTTAAGACAGATTCATATTTTCTACTTTCCAGCAGTGGTTGGTTAAGACTTTAGACTGCATGGTTTTCTTAGCATCTCAGAGACTTCATTCTTAAATTCCTTAGACCCCTTGGGTGGAAAGTATAAAGGGTCTAGATATTGTTCACAGAATCATGGAGACAGCAGCATTGAACCATCAGGCACAACATGACTAGGGGCCACTTTATTAGTTACACTCACCAGTTTCTTCCCTTTCTTGGGGCTGAAGATGACAAACGTTTGCCTCCATGTTCAGGTGGATGAATCCTCATCTTTAATAATTATTTTATTCCAGTACTCAGTTTTGGAAGCTTCGTTCACTGACAAATGCTTTACCTTACTTAAATGAAATGTGGACAGCAAGTCCCATAAAATGGCATTTTTTCTTTCACTGGACTTGAAAACGTCTCAGCCACCCAAACAAGAAACTAAGCTATAAAAGCAGATAAGTTACATATATAAGGTCATGTTGTGTCCTTCAATATGCACACACAGCTCCCACTGAAATGAAAAGGTTACATGCACACTGAAGGGTAGGCTTTAGGCTAAAAGGCTGATATCCTGTTTAGACTAAGACAGATACCGTCAGAAGTGATAGGGTAAAAGTGTGACCAAATATTTTTCTTGTATCTTTTTACAGTGTCCACGCAATTCTCTGGACAGAAAGGCCAAAACAAAATAAAACTTAACTTTTCAAAGCTCTACAAATGCAAATAAAATAAATGCCAAAACTCCTAAGCTGCAACGAACTACTAGGAGATAGAGAAGATATTGGTAGGAAAATCCAGAATGACAAATAGACTCTCACAGATGTCAACGAGGGAAAAAAGTCTTCAAAGACAAGAAGAATGTGCTTTAAAATAAAGTAGAATAATAAACTGAAATTTAATAATAAAGCAAGTAAGGCCTAAGATCAACTAAACTATGTCATGTGAAAGGTTATGAAAAGACTGTAAAGGAGGAACAGTCTTTTGACAAGGGCATGTGAAGTTCTCATTGCTATTGATAGAATTTGTACGTATCTATCAGAGACAATGTGGTTTATTGTATATAGCAGAGTTCATACATAATGAGAAAAGCTCCACAAAAATTAGGATCAATGCTTTACCATCACCGTTCCTTTAGCCTTCTGATTCCACAGGTAGGCACTGCGTTATCTGGTTTACACGGGACTGAAAGTCTCTGTGATGAGACTGAACTCATAGTCTTTGTATACTACCAGGAGGCAGGCCATGAAGTGCCCATGACAGGTGAAACTATTGCCACCACATCCTCTTAAGTTTCAGAATTAACTGAAGGATTTGCACAAATAGCACTTTCTTAAAACTGTGACATTCTCCCAGTCAATAGAAGCGGTGAGTATTGGCTAATTCTTGCCACTAAAGGATTCCAAATCTGCATTTAAACATCCACGAGTTTTGAACACACCATTCTGACATACTGTATCCAAAGCAAAGTATTTGGGGATTTTAGCAGAGTTTTGGTTCTCCACAAATGACCACATTCTTGACGTTTTGTCCCAATGCAGGATAAAAAATATTTCCATATCATGAAAATTTTCACAGAACTGGAACTAGGTTTGCCAGCTTGCACTACTTAGCACAAAAGCCATTTCAAAGGAAAATGCAACTTTGATGTAAGTATGGATGAGAACAACTATTTTGGAACACAAAGGGCTAAAGTAAGCTTAAGCTGTTCTTCTAAAAACAAACAAGTATTTCCATAGTCACAGAGAATGAGCCCAAGAGGCCTGGACGCTGTTTGCACGTACTGAGCTCAGAAGTGCACTGGGATGCAGTGCTTGGAATTACTCCTGCTCATGGGTTCATTGCACAAGGGAAGGAAGGAGCTCTGTGAATGCCTATAACATCTTACATCTCCAAAGCCACCATCATGTAAAGTGAAAACTTTGCCCTGCAGCTTACAAGGGGCTTCTCAAACCCTGAATGAGCAAAACCCATTGTTTTTCTATGAAAGCTTAGCTACTTGTTGATTTGAAGGAGAATTTTTGGGGGTAATACTGCACACAACTGCTGGAAACATCTTTACTTAGCAACTGCATCAGTTCCTTTGGTTGCTGTTACCCTTTCAGCACCACAGCGGTTACATACCTTCTGCTTTTTGCAGTGCACCTTGACCAAGCCAGCTCACACACTAACACAGAGTTTTGGCTCAGGAGAAAAGGGCAATGCCTTTATCAGGACCCTGAGTGCCCTAATGGGACTTAACAGCCTCTACAAGCCTCACCTGGGATCTCCACCCTTTGCCTATTGCTTAGGAGCCATTTTTAAAGCTCAGGCTGCAATAAGCAATCTTGACTGTCCCTGGATAATTCCTTCCCTTTTTTTCTCCATGAAGTTGTCAAATAGTAAGTGTTTTTAACTGTCTAGTTTTCCTACATTTTGCATATTCACTGTTGCAATTGCTTACTAGGTCAACCTGAAAGAATTAACTGTAAAACTAAAAAATGGCAGCCTTTTAGTGTATCTTTATCAACCTTCTAGGGTGATTTCATCAAGAAGCAACTTATGTGTGTAATAATATATTTATGCTGATATTATATTATGCTGATAATATAATTATGCTGATAAAAGTCAGTATGTTAACAAAGACATAAATTGAGTAACACAGTACCATGAGATTTCTTTGCAATACATGAAGTTGCTAGTTTGTGACTTGTGAAGTTTCTTAGTAGGTCAGCATATTAGTATTAGTGGTATAAGAGGTCATCTGATACTGCTACCATGTCTGGTTATTAATGGCCAGTTTTTTCATTCACCTAGTGGAAGTGCTCCTGTATGTGGTACTACTTAAAAGATGCAAGAGTGTGTTGGTTTTTTTTTTTAAAAAAAGCAACATTAGTAAATGGTTTTTAAAGTAACTTGATAAATTTAGGATCCTAAGAATAGAGCAGAATAGCTTATCTGCAGGAGAAAAATGAAGCTATATATTCAATGCTGTCAATTCCTCTTCCTCTCCAATCTTTGAAAATAATTAGTACTAATAATTAAAAAAAAAAATTAAGTATCAATGGATGTCAAACCAAACTTACTGAAAAGTTCATTCTGCTCTTCTGTCTTGCTTCTGCTGCTTCTAAGCTATCAACATAGAGCACTTGCAATTCCTACACCAAGAAGGAAAGGTGAAGAAAATCATTTAATCAGCTACAGGTCAAAAAAAAAAAAAACCAACACAACCCAAACCAGGCAGAACTTCCTCAAGCAGCTGGACTTTCTACTTCTCCCTTTCTGATTTTGAGACCAGTCAGGCTCCTGAAGTGGTAAGGTGAGCATGGATTGTCTCCTGAGGCAGCACTACCCCTTAGAGTTTTCCCGAAGTCTGGCCAGGGGATAAGGATGCTCTGTCAAGCAGCAGGTTAAACTGTTATCCCTCTCTGGCCTTGGACCAGCGCGAGGCTTGTTTGATCAAGCAAAAAGCCTGAACAAATGTTAGAATATTATCAGTGAAACCAGCCTGACAAAAGAGCACAAGACATAAATGCCTCTGTCATCCAAGTTGCCTTTTATCTATCATAGCTGAGTAAATGGGGGGGGGGAAAGAGTATAAGAAAAATAGAAATTCTTTAAAGTGCTTTAACAGGGATAAGATTAATATATAAAGAAAAAACCAAAGCAAAGGCTTAAAAGAACAAGATGGTTTTAAGTAACAAACCCCTCCTTTTTCTAATACGTTTTTGCATCTCTGTTACTAAAAAAGAAATAAAATACAGAGTGCGCTTACTCAGAAAGAAAAGACTTTTTTTTTTTTTCTTTTATTGGAGAGAAACTGAAGTCTGAAGCAAGCAAATGCTGTTCAGCTGCAAACCACTTCAGAGATGATTAAGTTCAACAGCATGTGTGGGTCACCAGAACAAGGGTATGTACTAGGAGACAATTTAGTCATCTATGGCTGATAATCATAGTGATATTTTGAGTATGCAATGCTCGTTTTCTTTAAAGTGCAAAGAGGACTGTGAAATTGACGTGTCTAATGTTTAGCCATTTAGGGTTGACAGCTAATTCACTAAAAAAGACATAAAATTCCATACATTTTTCTATTCTTATGTAAGTGATCTGACAAATTTTCCAGATGCTTCTAAAAGAAATGAGGCCAACTCTTTTACTCCACAAACAGGGCTTTGTGTAGTCACAGTGCAGTGGTTACAAGAAGGCAAAATATGCCTTTGGAGTTCTTTTTCCAGTGATTACTATTAGACTGTCTATCAAACAGCAAAAATCACAGAATCATTAGCGTCGGAAGGGACCTCTGGAGATTATCTAGTCCAACCCCCCTGCCAAGTCAAGGCCACCTAGAGCAGGTTACACAGGATCGTGTTGAGACTGGTTTGGAATGTCTCCAGAAAGGAACACTCTATAACCTCCCTGTGCAGCCTGTTCCAGGGTTCTGCCACGTTCAATGTAAAGCAGTTCCTCCTCATGTTGAGGTGAAACTTCTTTTATTTCAGTTTATGGCCATTGCTCCTTGTCCTGTTGCTGCGCACCACTGTAAAGAGTCTGGCACCATCCTCCTGGCACCCCCCTTTGAGATATTTGTATGTATTAATGAGATCCTCTCTGAGAACAGTATTCAGCTACCTTTAAAATATTGCAGCATTCAGACTTTTTTCTGTGTAAGAGAAACAAGTATTTTCTGAGTTTAATATTACAATTAACCTAAGTCTGTAACTTTGATTTAGCTATATGTAAGAAAATTATTTTTGTTTAAGAAGTGACCATCTAAAAGACTTACTTTGTAAAACAAGCAAAAAAGGCCTCTCAGTTGACTTGAACCAGAGAAATCAATCTAAATTATTATTTGCCTCTAACACAGATCTTGTGTTGCTGACATGTATGAAAAGAATTTCTAAATTTACAACCCACAGTTATCATTTGCCAATATGTGGCTTCATATCAGATGCTGCAATGAAGTGTTTGGTTTTTATTGTGAAATATGGGCTTCCCCCACCAAAAACAAAATTGCACATTGATTTAAACTTTGAGTAAAAGAATCAAGAGTCAAAAGCATACTTGTTAGATCCAGAAAAGGAAACAAAACAGAAAAAATGCAGAATTTTTCTTTGACAGATTACTCTTAAATTTCATAATTAAGAGCTGAAAGGGTGATTAAATTAACTAATCATCCTATGAAGGTAAGAGGCCATTAGATTTTATCAAGGTACCTTTATGTAAATCTCAGACTTTAGTAAAATATTTCTATTGTCAGAAAATTAAGGTGTAGGTCCCTAGCAAAGACAAGTGTTTGGCTCTCAGTAGTGACAGATGCTGGCTAAGTCAAGACAAATTATATCAGCAGGCAAACCATACCAGTAATTGCTGAAGGAAGCAAAAGTTCTTGTCAACCCAAGTCAGATGAAAAATGCCTTCCCAGTTTAAAAAGGAAGAATTAGTATGAGCCTAGTAATCGCCTCAGCCTTGAAAGTACCTCAGCACAGGCACTTAGGGCACCTCAACTTTCTAATAAACAGAGTTAGTCATACATTGTAACTCTTCTGCTGTTCTGTTTTTGCAATCCTTCTTTGGACCGTCTCTAGGCAAGGTTGGACAAGGGCAAATATAAAACGATAGGGGAAAGATTAAAAGTATTGCTTGGACATTACATAATAATTGGTTTAGCAGTAGCTCCTGCTAAAAAAGAAAAGAAATTGTGGAATGAATGAGCAAACCATTGCACGACTGAAGTAACAATCATGATAGTTGTGCTGAAATGGAATTGTGTCAGATCATAGTTTCTTTCTGTGAGAGAGTAACACGCTTTGTGTGTGCATAAAGAGGAGACAACAGGCTCCATATATCCACCTTGTGCAGATATTTGATAGTCTTGTATGCCTCTTGCTTATGCAAATGCTACCTACTCTAGGGGTAATAAGCAGACAGATATTATAAAACTGGGGGAAAACCTATTAAGAAGTAGCTATCACTAATTCACTATCAATAAGGAAAGCTGTATCCATGTGACATTTGCAGGAGTTTGCTCTGGGTCTGATATTATTTGGTGCATTAGTTAATGAATTGGGTCATATAATAAAGAGGAAGCTTTTTAAACTGGCAGTTACACCAGTCTGTGAGGAACTGCAAGTGTTTCAGTCAGGAGTGCTATAATTCAAAGTGATCTTGACAAACAGGAAATCAATTTAATAAAAAATAAAAGACTAATTAAGTAAGGGCATGTTCAAGACATGGATGCACAGCAATAAGCATGCATACAAGTTGGGGAATGCTTAGCTGGCAGCTCTGTTGAAAAGGATCTGAACCTACAAGGTTGACAAGCTGTATGCGAGTCAACAATATCAATGCCATTGGACAAAAGCACACGACTATCATCCAGAAGACTGGTAAAGCCGTTATTTTACCTTTTTCAACACTAAGATGCAATACTGTGTTTAATTCAGGCACATTTTAAAAGTGATCTGGGCCAAATCCAGAGAGCAACAGGCATGGCTGAAGGTCTCTTAAAACACAGTCTGTGATGGTGAGCACTGAGATTGTTCAGCCTGGAGAAAAGGCTAAGGGAGGGGGAGGGGTGTTGTAGGAAATTAACTTCAAATTCTGAAGAATGCTCCTCTTGACTGATGCAAAGAAGGCAATCTACTCTCTTTGCAGGGAACAGGAGTAACACTGGCAGTGAAAGCGTCATTATTAGCAGAGATAAAGATGTGATGGTACCACTCGGCGCTTGCCTGGCCACACCTGCAGTGCTGTGTACAGTTCTGGTCTCTACAATTCAAGAAAGACATGGACAGCCTGCAGAGGGCCGTAAGAAGGGCCATGAAGATGACCTAAGACCAAGAGAGCCTGCCCCATGTGGAAGGATAGAAAGAGTTAGGTCTTGTCTCCCAGGAGAAAAGAAGACTTGGGGGAGAGCCTCATCACAGTATTCCAGTACTGAAAAGATGGCTACACAAAAAATCACATGGAGAAGGGGCAAGTTGCGTTAGAAAGAAGATGGGTTATACTGGGAGAGGTTTCATCTTGATATAAGAAAAATTGTGAAAACAATCAATCACTGATACATCTCCCTAGGGTTGTGGTATAGTCCCAATTACAACAGGTTTTTAAGATGTGACTGGACGGGGTTTTAGATAAGCTCATCTAGGCAGGCTCTCTTTCTTTTGAAAAGTTAGATCAAATGATTTTTTTCAAATTTTTTCAAACATGGGTTGTTCTATGATTCTATAAACTTTCTAAGAGAAAGGGTCAATACATGGCAGAGCACTGTGGATGAAAAGGCTGTGAAAATTCCAGCTCTGGAAGATTTTTAAGAACAGTGTGTGATGGTATGGGTATAGTTTACCTTGCCTTAAAAAGAGGCAAATAGACTGCAGGTCAATTTGTAGTCCTGTGTCCTATGATTCTAAGGTAAGTATATCTAATAGACTTTTCTCTCAAGAGTTCATATTGCTGCAACTACTAAAAGTGATATGTAGAATTAATTATATGACCTAGGCTGAGATAGGAAGGCTCTACCAGGTCATAAAAATAAGTTTGGGCAATGTAAACAAAAGATGAGAGCTATGAAACGTCAAAATAACATAGTGATGCAAAGCACATTAAAAAGCATAGTGAAAAAAGAGAGAAATTTCAAATCCATTCACTAGTAACTGGACTCATTTATGTTACACAGGAGTGTGGATTAAAGTGTACGGCTTTATCCAAGAGCACAAAGAAGTGGGCTGCAGTGTGGAAATGGAAAACCAAAACCAAGAGAAGGTGATTCAATAAGCAGTGTAAGAAAGCTTCAGAGTTGGGGTAATAAAAAAAACAAAAGTAAATCTTTCAGTCTTGTGAGAATCTGCAGGCCCAAGTCAAAGAGATGATAAGAGACCAGGCACATGTAAAAGCAGAATAACTGAACTGGGAGGTATAATGCTGAAATGGAGAACGATGGAAAATTACTGTATCTGATAGGTAGAATCTGACTACCAATGATCTTAGAAGACTGACAATAATACAATGACCATATGCAAGAAAAGCTTTGCAAAATCATACAAACACCTAGTAAGTAACCTTTTCCATCAAAATAGCAGAGACGAGAGTAGTAAAAGTATCTAGTAAATGTATCAGGAGTAAATCAATTAACATTCATACTGTTATTTTCCAATACATTGATATTATGTAAAGTAGGCTTTCCATCTGACTGATTTATGTACCTGCATCTGCTGTCTTTGCCCTTGATGTGGTCAGGTTGCCAAGTCCTTGTTTTACATGGCTTTTTTGCAGTGACAGGAAACCAGCGGTAGAACACTTAAGTTCTACATCCTGCAGCAAAAGACACCTATATTCTCTTGCAGCAATAAGTAATAGCAGCTGCCTTTAGACTACCTATTTTAACAGAAAGGGGATAGAGAAAGACCAAAATAAGCAGCTGTATCAGGCAGGAAAAAAAAAATGGTACAAAACCAGAATGAGAAAGCACTACCACATTAAATACAAATTTTGACAGCATTCTGAAAGTACAGTCAGAAAGCCTGAGAGAAAAACAGAATATAGAAGGAAAAAGGGAGGATCAAGGCCCATTCCTAGATTTCTGGTCTCTGAAACAAGCTAAGAACTGAACTAAGAAATGTATAATGAAATCAGAAGCTATTAAAAGAAAAACTTTTTGCCCAAACTTCTTTCTAAATGAAGTCATGCCTGTACTCATAATTGAGAGGCATTAAGTAGGAGTTAGAAAATGTAGCATTGATAAAATGTACATAGAAACAATGGCTAAAATAGACACGTATGCATTATGAGAGGGTAAAGATATATAAAAATCCTGCCAAAACGTGATTCTTAAAAGATGTCTTGGAGATAGGGAAACAGGTAGAAAAGTAGAACAGGCAGAAAAGTATCTTCGGTCAAGTCCTGGCTTCTTGCTCAACAGAACAGAAATGAGAGAACACTTACATCTTGTCTATGCCGAGTACCTAAATTGCAGGGTTTTTTTAACTTCAAAAATCTTTACCAGTAATGTGTTCTTGCTTTGCACATTACTTAAGGAAGAACGTTTATGAAAAAATGTGTTCTGTTCATTATGTTTTCAATCATCAAACCATTTGGATGATTAATTAGTCATTTTCTTCACAAAGTTTCATTCTGAGTTCATTTTACTGAGAAATGAATCTGAAATACCAACTTACATTGACTTCTAAAGCATCTTTACAAACCTTATATGTCACTTTGACAAGATAGTGTGTCTAAGACAAATATGAAGTTTTTATTTTGCTGGGCAAATACAAGAATCTGCCTATACCACAGTACAAACACATTATTGTAATAAAGGCAGAATTACCAATAACTCTGTGCCCATCACTGCAGAAATAAACTGCACGTTAGGTTGAACACAGAATTTCAGTACAGAACTGAGACTTCTCATGTTATTTGGTCTCAGATTATTTCACAGCAAAATGAAGCCCAGTCATAACTTAGCCCATCTTTCTTGAATAAAGATGAAAACTTGCTGCAAGATATCTT